TTTTAATGGCGCTTTACGGTGCGATTGCTTGCGGTGCTTCAAAAAGGGTGATCCGGCTGCAGCGTGGGCCTCGCTTCCAAATCGGCCATGCCCCTGTGGTTCGGAATGGCGCTCTCGCCCCAGCGCGGGACACTGGAATTGAGTCCTCCTTCACGGTTGTCGCCCCCCTCTTTTCCCCTCCTCCGCCTTCCCCTGGTTCTCCTCCTCCTCCTCCCACTCCTTCAGCTCCATTTGCTGCTGCTGCTGCTGCTGTTCGTCCTCGTTATCTTCCTTCCTCACCCACCTTCTCCTCTTGCTCATCCTCCTTTTTACCCGCAACCTCCTCCTCCTCCTCATCCTCCTCCTCATCTCCTCCCCCTCCTCCGCCTCCTCCTCCTCAACCTCCTTATCCTCCTCTTCCTCATCCTCATCCTCATCCTCCTCGTCCTCGTGCTCTTCTTATGAGTATTAGTACTAGTATTAGTATCATTCGTCTTCTGATTCTTAATACTATGCTCACTAGTATGTAAAAGAAAAATGATTGATATTAGTATCATTATTCGCACTCGTATTATTCTTCGTAGTACTAATGTCACTAGTGTTGTTGCCATTATTATTAGTATTAACAGCATTATTAATCTTAGCATTAAGACTCGCATTACTAGCATTCGCATTGTGAGTAGTATTCGCCTTCATATTACTCGTATGATATATATATACATACATACATACATACATACATACATACAAGCATCCATACAAACATTTATACCTATATATATATGAGTATATATAAGTGCATACATATATACATTCTTACTAAGCTTAGTATTTTCGTTCGTCATATTATTATTCGTCTTCTAATTATTCGTCTTCTTCTTTCCCCATTCAGAGCTTGCCTCTGTAGGGGTCCTAGCAAATTCATGTGTAGGTGACCTGCGTCGCCGACTTCGGTGGCCGGCCAAGGTGCCCGGGTGCCCGGGTGCCCGGGGATGCCCGGGGATGCCCGGGTGCCCGGGTGCCCAGGTGCCCGGGGGTGCCCGGAAATGCCCGGGGGTGCCCGAAGGTGCCCCCGGGTGCCCGGGTGCCAAGGTGCCCGGGTGCTCTACCGCCCCATAGCCCTATCGCCCCATAGCCAAATAGCCCTATAGTCCAGTAGCCCTATAGCCCTATAGCCCTGTAGCCCTCTAGCCCTATAGCCTTGTAGCCCTATAACCCTATAGCCCTATAGCCCTAAAGCCTTAGCCATATAGCCCTGTAGCTCTAAAGCCCTATAGCCCAATAGCCCATATAGCCCATATAGCCCTATAGCCCTATAGCACTATAGCCCTATTACCCTACAGCCCTATAGCCCTACAGCCGTATAGCCCTATAGCCTGATAGCCCTATAGCCCTGTAGCCCTATAGCCCTATAGCCCGATAGCCCTATAGCCCTATAGCCCTATAGTCCTATAGCCCAATAGCCCAGTAGCCCTATAGCCCTATAACCCTGTAGCCATATAACCCTATACCCCTACAGCCCTATAGCCCTATAGCCCTATAGCCCTATAGCCCTATAGCCTATAGCCCTATAGCCCTGGCACTCATGGCCTTCATAGCCCTCGCAGACTTCATAAACATAAGGATCAATGACAAAGGAGCCCCATATATATATATATATATACATATATACATATGTATACATATATATATATATACATACATACATACATACATACATACATACATACATACACACATACAAACAGACATACCTACACGACCACCCTTCGGGTGATAAGAAGGTTCGGGGGGGGGGAGGAACCAACGTCTCACTCGATCGGTCTCACAATCGATATCACTATCAATCTCACTATCGGTCTCGCTCGATCGATCTCACTCGATCGATCTCACAATCGATCTCACTCGATCTATTTCATTCGATCAATATCACAATCGATCTGACTATCGATCTCACAATCTATCTCACTATCGATCTCACTATCGATCTCACAATCGATATCACATTCGGTCAAACTATCGATCTCACTATCGAAATCAAAATCGATATCACAATCAACGTCATCATCATCATCATCATCATCATCATCATCATCATCAACGTCATCATCGTCATCATCAACATCAACATGATCGTCATCAACGTCATCAACATCATCATCATCATCATCATCATATCGTCGGTCGTCCTCATCATCGGCATCATCAAATCAGCATCATCATAATCAACATCATCAGTATCAGTATCAGCATCATCATCCTCCTCGTCATCATCATCATCAGAAGCATCAGCATCATCATCATCATCATCATCGTCGTCGTCGTCATCGCAATCATCATCATCATCATCATCATCATCATCATCATCATCATCATCATCATCATCATCGTCAGCCATCTGGTGGGGATACGCGAAGCGTCAAGAATTGTGCGCCACATGGATTGCACCACATAGATAACATCACATGGATTGCATCACGTATCTTGCACAGCATTGATTGCACCACATAGATTGCACAACATAGGTTGCATCACATAGATTGTACAGCATTGAGTGCTCCACATGAACTGCAGACCATGTATGGCTAGAAAAAAACCCTGCTAATCTTAGGTGTCTTCGCTGGCTAGCTAACATTTAAAAAAGGACAGGAATGGAGCAAAACAGGGCTCCATCCAGAATGAGAAGATGAAGCAAATTGAGGTCGGAGGGGGGGATCAAAGTTTTAAGACGCGCTGGGTGTTTTTGGGGCCTCCAGGAGCCTCTGGATTCCAGGGACCTGACTAGAATAGATCGGGAATCTCTGAGAGCCTCCAAGTCTGGAGGATGCATCGGGCGCTGGGGCCGTTCCTGCGTACTCCGGAACGCTGGAGAGATGTCCTCATCCGAGGCCTGCCTGACCTCCGAAGGGCTGGCTGTTCTTGACGGCCTCGGTGACCAGAAACGTCCTCCAAAGCCCGAAGATTGCGGAGCCCCCCGACCCGCTCGGGAGGTGCGCTCTGACCAGACAAGAAAGGTGCATGGCACCCAGCCGTGGCAGCGAGAAGCTCGCAGGAGGTCCAAGAAGACGGAGGGAGCTCCACAAACCTCGACCCTCGAGCCTCGACCGGGAGAGGGCGGGGAAAACAGGCCGCCGAGTAAGACTGTCTTGTGGAATCCAAGCGCGGCGACGAGGAGCCCGCAGGGGGTCCAAAAAGACAGAGGAGCCTCCACAAAACCTCGATCCTCGAACCTCCACAGGGGGCCCATCGGTCGAAGAAATGGGCAAGAAACATGAAGTAGGAAGGCGCTGAAACTAGACTGGATACCCGCCCTTCCCCAAGGACAAAAGAAAAGGGAAGGGAAGACCACTCGATGATTGAAGCAGGAATGCGCCTGAAGTAGATTAGAATCTGGGAGCCCACAAATACCTACCCTCAACGACTGGTGGGTGGGGGGCCGTGGCGACGAGGAGTCCACAGAAGGAGGTCCAGAAAGGTGGAGAAAGACATCCAAAAACCTCCACTCTCGCACTTCGACGGGTAGGGGACGGAGAGTGGGAAAACAAAAAGTTGCCGATACTGCTGCTCCCAGTACATCTGGTGCGCGTTCTGACAAGGACTTCGAGGTGAATCCAGCCGTGGCGACAAGGTAAAAGTAACGGCAGGCGCATCCTCTCCTCACCTGAGGGAGGGCGGGCCGCTGGGCCCGTCGACCCCCCTGAAGAGGGGCCTGGTCGGGCACGAAGGCATCCACGGCGTCCTGCACAGAAGCCGGCGCCGCCGCCGCGCCAGGGTCCACGCCTGCTGTGGTGGTCATCGTCGTCGTCATCACCAACATCCTCATCCTGATCCTCATCCTCATCCTCATCCTCATACTCATCCTCATCACCATCCTCATCACCATCGTCATCATCATCATCATCATCATCATCATCATCATCATCATCATCATCATCATCATCATCATCATCATCATCATCATCCTCGTCATCATCATCATCATCATCGTCATCATCATCATCATCATCATCATCATCATCATCATCATCATCATCATCATCATCGTCAGCGTCAGCAGCGCAGCAGAATCCTCATCATCATCCTCATCGTCATTATAATCCTCGTCCTCATCCACATTCTGCTCATCCGCCCCTCCCTTCTCCGTTTCCCCCTCCCCCTGCCCCTCCTTCCCCTCCTCCTTCCCCTCACCCGTTCCCTCCTCCTTCTCCTCATCCAAGGCTTCTGGGTCAGGAGCATTGCGGATGTTCGGGCGTCCGGGGCCCCGCTCCCCACACGCTCTACATGCCTCCACGCTGAGACATCGCCTGCACAGATCACCACTACACCATGCGGCATAAATGTTTTTACGTGGGCTACTGGCTCCTGCTCGTCTCCACGATGGCAGGACGACGGTTCCGAGCGATCCAGTGTTTAGCCCACTGCACGCCGCGCCTGGAGAGAGGCCCACCTCTATCGTGGAGGAGTGCGCGTGTTACGACTTCACTTGCCCCGCTGGCACATCAGCCCGCGGGCATGGACTGATGACGACCAGAAGAGGCGCAGCGCTCTGTAACTCCTTTTCAGACCTCCCTCTGGCCCGTCCTCGAAATCAGGTGATAGCCCATCAACGCCAAGACTCCTCTGCTGCCAATGCTTCTCGTAGCCCCTCGGCCCTCGTCTAAGGGCCCCACCTTCTGCTCGCGCCCGCCCCCGACCTGGCCCATGAAGACCTGTCTCTCTGGAATTGCCGCCTCCACTGCCTGCGTGAGTTCATCAATGTCGGCTATCTGTTTGATGGACTTGTTCAGGAGGCTGTTCTGCTTCCCGCTGAGGGCGATCACAGGTCAGTGATGTCTGCTCTGAGGTCATCCCCCAAGTCCTCGACCAGCTGGCTGGTCGTCTCGCTCGCGTCCTCGCCCTGCGGCAGCTCGCGGAGGACCGCGAGGGCCTTGCTCCGAGGTGGCACATCCAGATCCTCCCACTCCTCCTGCTCGCCCTGCTCGTCCTTCTGATGCCGGATGGCTGGCTGTCTGCGCTCTGACCTCGCAGTCGCGCTTGTACTTGTCGGCGTCCTTCTCCTTTCTCGCGCTGCCCTTCATGCTTCTCGGCTGCCATCCCCTGATCTGCACCTCCTGCATCCCCTTCGCCGCCTTCGAGCAGTACTCCGGGGTGCAGTAGGCCTTCGCGCCCCCCCCCCGTGGCTGCTGAACTCGCGGAGGCAGCTCGTCTCCTTCATTGGGTCGCAGCCCCTGGCTTTCGCACCCACCGTCGGATGGAGGGCGCCCTGATCGGCGATCTCGAAGTACCTGCACATCATCACTCCCGTAGGCGGCCTGTTCTCGTCGCTGATCTCGTGCCAAGGCCATTTGAAGGTCGCCCTGCGGTCGGCGGTGAACTTCTCCTTCCGCCCCTCCGCCTTGCGCGCTACAGGCTTCGCCTCTGCTGCCGATGTCTCCGCGCGGCCCGCTGAACCCGCCGGCCCCCGCGACGATAACGGCCGCGAGCGCCGAGCGAAGGAACCCCGGGGCACGTCGCATGATCAGCACATATGAATAAATACTGGTCGAGGTTGCTCTCGGGACACGTGTCCTCGAAGTCTGGTTCGAGCCTGGTTCGAGCCGAAAGGGCTTTTCGAAATCCTGCCGATGCTGTCGCGCCGTTGCCAATGGAACATGTCGAGAATGGTGTCTTTGCGCTCGCTGCTGCTTTTGCCCAGCGCGCCGTAGTTCCCCTCCTGCTCGTCCTTGTCTGCTCGGACGTTGCAGCGCTGGTCGCTGATCATCTCGTTTGCCGCGACGTTGTGCCCTGGCTGCTTGCCCCCCCCGCTTCGTGCCCCTACAGCTTCCCGCAGTGCTCGTGCGATTCGCGCTTCTTTCTGTCTCGCACTTGCCCCGGGCCCCCGCCCGCGGCTCGCCGAGGCGATTCCCCGCTCTTCGCTAGACAGAAGACTCCCGAGAAGAAGCACGTTTCGCCTTTGGGGGAACTTCCGGGGCTCCCCGGGGCCGACGGCGATCGATAGCTTCACCCGGATCTCTTTCCCAAGTAACCTCCTTCGCGCACGGGGGCCGTCTGCCGGGCCCACCCCACGGCCTCGCGAAGCCGCCCAACTAGACCACGAAATGCTCGCCTCCAGCGCAGGCCAGAGGAAGTCCCAAATTCTGATCGGGCAAATCAAACTCTGACTGGAACGCGCGCAACGACGCCTTCAGTTCCACGAAAGTCTGGGAGAGGAGTAAGTGGAACAGCACCCTGGACCATATACGCGAAGATCACACCGCTGAACTTGCCCAACATGATTGGGATGGCGACGCCCTCCGTCGCCGCACAGGGTCGCTCACGAAGCGGCGCTTCTCGTGGCAGGGCATCGTCTTCAGCATGATCCCGCGGCGCTCAGAACAGTGCTTGACCCAGCCATCGCGCGCCTCGAAGCCCATCACGCTGAAACCACATGCCGTGTCAACGGCTCCCCAGCCTGGCACGCCCGATTTCTCAGTGTCCACCGCCAGGCTGATGCGCTCCACGAAATTGGACTTCGACGCCACCATCGCCTCGGCAGCGATGCAGCCGCACACCTCGGCGCCCTGAAGAACCGCCAGCGCGACGCAACCTTCCGTCGTCGTGTTCTTAGGATTGTCTGGGCACTCCTCATGCGGAAGCCCGAGATTCCGGCAGATACCGCACTTGGTCCGCTTCTTGATGCCCTCGATATTCTCTTCCGCCTTCTTGCGGCCCCTGATGTCGCGGAACCCCCGTTGGTCTTCTCGTCGGCCGCGATCTTCCCGGCCTCCCCCCGCGCCCTCGGCTTCGGAAGTGGCGTCGCGAGCGCCGCCAGGCAATCCAGCGCCTCCGTCTCTGCCAGGAACTCCCCACTCTCCAGCCCGTCGTCGGCGCCGTCCGCCCCGTCGCCCTCGATGCGCGGCAAGGTCGCCATCGCGTCGTAGACGAAGTTGTGCTCTTCTTCTCCTCCTGAAGCTGCCAGTCCTTCTTCTTCTCTCACTCCTGCCAAATACGCCGTCTTCGCGGGCGTCGCCTTGTCTGTCGCCGCGCCGTCGCCCGTCATGCGCACGAAGACCCCGACGAGCACATTCACGTCGAAGTCGCACCCAGTCCGGGTGGACACCCGGTTTCGTTCCGACTTGGCCAGTCCAGCCCCTCGTGGTAATAAAGCCCATGGCCGTCTCGTTGAGCGCTCTAGTCAATAACCTGGCCAGCTCCTACTGCTCTGCTCTGACCCTGTCCGCGAACTTCATCGGTGTCTCGTCGCGCGACCTCGGCGCCGCGAACAGGGCCCTATCGAGCTGCTGGGAGGCGCCCGCGCCTGCCCCTGGAAAGGCCAGCGCGCCCAGGGCCATGATCACAGCCAGCAGCCCTCCGAGATGCCGAACACCTCCTGGTCGTGAGTCGAAAGTGAGCCTGGTAACTCAAATAGCATCCGATTCCATGGGAAGCGGATGGCAAATAGCGCCCGGTATCGTACTGAGGCTGTTCAAAAAGAAGAACGGACGGATAAGATAGGATAAGATCGATGTATCGGTCTTTCCAGCACATAGCGAACACTCGCGGTGTCCGGGCAAATAGGGTGCGCGTGCCTTGAGCCACAGGCAACGGCGCGCGAGCTACGCTCCCGATACTATAACATCTCCCAAAGAGCTACCCTTAAAGTCGGGAGGGGAGGAGACGGAGAGCATAGCCGCGCAGCCGTTAGGCTCTACAAAGGCCGCGCGCACAACTGTTTGCAAGAAAGAAAACAGCGTGTACAGTCTGGCCTAACACCAGACTGCAAGGCGAGTTTCCTCGCAAGGCATTTCACGCAAATACAAGATAGCCCCTTCGAACGATGAAGGGCTATCGGCTCAGTTAGAGGCACGCCAAACGGGCCATATCTCACCGAGCAAATATGTATTAAGGCAAAGAGCCTGAGTCATATAAAGCCGGCTCGTTGCCAGGCGTGAAATGTAAGGCTCGTTTCCGAGCAACTAGAAGGGCGCCTCTGTAGTAGGCGCCCATGCTGGCAAATTGGACCGCGAGGGGCAACAAGGACAGACTAAAATTGATTAGACTTGGGTTTGTTTCTGTCCTCGGGACCCCGAAAGGGAACAAACTGCTTCACGTCATACTTGAATGACTGAGTGCCTGACATCACTTCCAGAAGCAGCTCCCGATCGATGCTTCCCTTTGTATGCCCGTCTGCGGTCATATCCCTAGTATCACACCACTGCACGTTATGTACTATACCTATATCCATGAGCTCACGTTTCCAACTGATATGTCCAAGCAGAGTCCGCTCTGTCGGTATCTTAAGATCCTTACTTGATAATGATTTATAAGCGGACTCAGCGTCCATGGTAAGAGATACTTTGATGGCTAGGCCTCCAACTTCACGCATATCTCGTAGTTGTCGTGGAGCCAAGGCTCCTGCCTTGAGCTCGTGGAGAGTGATGAGCGTAGGGTAACACTCATCGAGGTTATGCGCCGCTGCGAGTGCCTCCGCAGCATAGCTGGACCTCACCTGCAGTCGGTGTGATTTGCATAGTCCGTCACAGAGGTGAACGACGGACTTGCCTTGAGGCGAGTTTCCTCGCCGTAGTACATTCGCCCCGCGTATGCCGTAGCCCTTGGTCTCATCATCCTCCTCCCCGGTAAGCTTCCGATACCCCGAATCGCTGTGGATGTCAACTTCACTCGTCGGCTTCATCCGAGGGAAGGTGATGCGTTTCGGGCTGCTGATCAGCTTTCGCGCCACAGCATTCAGGCGTCTGACTTGCAGATTGGTGGGCTCTTGGATTTTCTGGAGAGAGACCACGTATACCATGAGCCAGATTTGGGCAAGAAGGGCATAGGCGAGGGCTCCTCGCAAGCTGACGAACATGTCGGTAATGAGTTTCGTGGCTTTGGCATCGGCCGCCGCTCCTGTAAGTTCTGGGTGTGTGATAGGACGTAGTTGTTTGATATATACTCGTCCTGATCCATAATCACATCCCCTTGATCATTCTTAGTGTAGCGAACGGCGCAGTTCGTACACGTGTGTTTGTTGAGCTTGAATTTGCCAAACACCTTTTCGACACGCTGTACATAGTCGTCTATATTTTTCTCTGGGCCAGTCATGTTAATATCATCGACATGTTTTGCCGTTAGCAGATCTTGGCTGAATTCAAACTCAGGGTCATAACTGGTCGGTGCAAGGCCCATAGCTCGTGTGGTCGTACGAAGTTTGAGAGAGAACGCTCTTGGAGCGTCCTTTGTACCCGTTCCTGGTTTGAGGCATCTGAGGCAGTGTCGGCTTTCGTCATAGGATGAGAAGCCGGGTAGTGTACGAAGTACCTGAGCACTTCCCGGTGGAAGAGTGAAGCAGACCATGCGAGTTTCCTCGCCGGTGGCATGGGCAAGTTCCTCATAGGTCAAACCCTTGAGGAACGCCTTGTCGATATCCATGGATGCTAAGATCCATTCTGGATGGCATGCCGCCTCACTTGCCAGGAGTCGTTGGGATTGCCTTCGGGCGGTTCCCGAGATTGTTTCTACGTCGAAAGCCTCGGTATCCATAAATCCACGAAGGACAAGTCTGAGACGAATGGTTTTAACGTTCTCGGTACCCACCTTTACAAACTTCCACTTGCACACGTACCTGGATGTCATTATGTTGGAAGCTTTGGATAAATCATACATCTCAAAGCATCGGTTGTCAATCCAGATTTTGAGTTCAGTATACAAAGCTTCACTAACCTCCTTTGGATGTGCTGCTATGTCGGCTTTGGTCAATAGATCGTCTTCTTTAACGACCACAGCACGTTTAGCAGCAGAGGATACATATACTCTCATCGTTGCGACCATATCGGTGTCGAGCTGTGCAAGTTGAGTCTGATCCAATACTACTTTTGACATTTCTGATGTAAAAAAAACATAACTCAACGTAAGGACCATATTCATCACTGTCAGGAGAGTAGCTCTCGTCAGGTGTGGTTGAGCAGAGAGAGACTAGACAGGACTCTCGTGGTTCAGGCTCGTCTCCGAGCGTGTCCGATGATATGATATCTTCTTCGTCCACAGATGCTGAAACCAAAACACATTGGTCAGGCAGCATGGTTGTTGGGACGCAGTAAAGATAATCGTCGGTAGTCGTCGTAGGATGAAGGTCCATACGTAGCTCGTCGTACCACTCTTCCAGCATCATAGCTTCGATATTATGTTCCTCATTTTCCTCATAGATTGTCGACAGACGGCCTTCACTCGGCGATGAAGCACCAGGGGTGTCTGGAGGAGGCCTGTTTCCAGGCGAATCGTGTTCTCCAGACGTGTTGCTTGAGTGCTGATATTTAGCCAGGTCGTCGTGAAATCCTAAGGAAGGGACACGTGAAGTCAAGCATTGAATAAGTCTGGAATGAGTGCTACCAGTGATCTGAGAAATGTTTAGGCCGGTGCCCACACATTCGTAGTAGT